CTTATTAATTGCTATTTTCTAAACCCTAAATAAATCATTTTAAAAGACAGTTCTATATAGTTCATGCATGTGGAAAAGTATATAAAAATTCATGGGTATACAGAGATAAGATAGGTTTGGGGTTTTGTTTGGTTGGTTGGTTGGGTGGGTGGGTTTTTTTTGTTGTTGTTTCATATTGGGGATTGAGGCCAGCCTTGAGCTTCATCCTCTATACTCTTTATTTTGAGACAGGTTCTCACTGAGCTGCCCAGGCTGACCTCAAACTCATGATCCTCTGCAGCCTCCTGACTAACTGGTATTGTAGGCATGTGCCACCCTGTTTGGGTGCTTAGTTAGGTCTTTGGGGAGCTCGTTGTTGTGTGGATATAGAGATAGGGAAGGCTTATAGACAAGATAAAGACCTTGCCGTTACATTAACAGGTATACTTTTCAGCCAAGAGGTCGCCTATATTCCTCATAGGGGAGATGACATTAACCCTAAAAGCCACTTCCTTGTATGTAGAAAGTTGGCAAATGTTTGAAAATTGAGCGCTTTGAGTTGTCCTTATTTTCCCTGTGTATTTCTGTATTAGAAATTAAAATTTGGCTGTTTATCTATTTACTATTATATAGAAATTTTTATATGTCTTTTATGTTCCAAAAGATTAAAGTTTTTGCATCTTGTTTTAGTCTATTTAATGTCCTATTTTTTGCACACATTAATTGCAGACTTTCTATAATAGACTATTAGGGGCCAGGGAGATGGCTCAGTAGAATAAGTGCTTACCTGGCAAGTACAAGGGCCTAAGTTCAATCCCTGGTTCTGCCAGAGGAAAAAAAAAAGAATAGTAGGAACTGGCACTCATATAGAAAACTTAGTAATGGTTGCTCATTGTACAAATGATACATATTTTTGGGAGAGATAAAAATAAGGTATTATAAGGAAACGTAAGATTGCCATCTACTCATTTGTGAGACTTAGAGTGTATTGCCATAGCAGATGATGCTGAGGGAATTCCAGAGAGAAATCTCCCCTTTTGCCTTTCCCATAGAGTTCATGTGGTCTTAAAAGATAGGTTCATTTATACTTTTCCAATTACAATGCCATGCCTACTTTCAAATAATAGGTGAGGCAGATTATTTTGTTTTGTCTTCAAAATACAAAAATTAAAGGGAATTTTTTTTTGGTGAGGTCCTAAAGAAAGTATTGGAAAAGCTGGACAGGGTGGAACACTTCTGTAATCCTAGTACTTGGGAGGCTGAGACAGGATGATCTCCATGAGTTTAAGATCAACCTGGACTACATGAATAGTCAAGCAGAACTACATAACAAGACCCTGTCTCAAACAACCAAAAAAAGATAAACAAAACATATTGGTAGAAAGGATGTTCCTGTAGTGATCTTCTTTTCTTGCTCATATGGAGTCTAGATTTAAGGTTAAAAAAATACAAATACATGATTTCTCTGTATACATACATAAATACATATATACAGACACACCTATGTACGTACACAGACGTTCTCCCATGGAACTGCTTTCCCACAGGATCAACATCAGAAGCCCATGTCCAGCGTATTTCATGCTACAATGCTGTTGTTCTTTCTAGATCTTTAAACTCTCCAGTTTTAGATGCTGACCCTCACTAAAAATAAAGTGATCTGTCTCTGTGCATCTGTGTCAAGTGGGCACTCCAGCGTACCGTTTTTCTCCCTTGCGGACAACTAGGACCTACTTTTTCTACAGTGGAAGTCTTGCTCTAGACCTGGTCTCTCTTGTCCGTTCCGCTGCTGCCTGGGTTACTGATGCATCCTTGATCTTGAATTATATTCATCTTCTCATCTCTAGTTGATTCCTCCTCTGCTTCTCAGTTGCTTAGCCTACATCTGGGCCTTGTGACTCACAACTGATTTGCTTCTAAAGCTATCAGCTCATTGTGGGCCACTATACATACACTGTTTGCTGTATTTTCATGTTATTTATTTATTTTATTTTTTGTATTTTAAGGAAGGGTCTACAGGGTATTCAGGGTCTCACCACTAGATCAGAGTAGTGATCCTCCTGTTTACAGCCTCCCAAGAGCTGGGATTATAGGCATGTGCCACCACACCCAGTCTCAATTGCCATGTCATTGAGTCCTGGGCAGGGCTGGCACAGCAGGCCCAGGTATGGAATCCCAGACCCCTGAGCCTGCTTGCAGATGCTTTAATCCACTGAGCTATTTGGCCGGCCCCTCTCCAACTCATTTTAACAAATTTCCAATTCATATAATTTATCAGTCCCTTCCTAGTTTTATTTTCTTTCCTTACATTATGTTAGCAGTCTTAAACCTTTCTCCTGTCAGTGTCCTTTAATTCCTCCCTGAACTTTCTTATCGAATCACCTTGAGTGAACCTAAGGTCTCATTTTTCTGAGCACCACTGTCAAAAACCACATAAGCAATAACAAGCACCACAAGGCTAACGTCACCAAGGAGTTCTATTTTTTCTAGTCCTTTTCTTCAGAGATTATTGTAAGCATTCATCACTCTCGCATCTCTGGCTAATTTCCTTCTCACTCTCAGTGATGGCTTAGTATTTTATTTCACAGAGAAAATGGAAATCCTCAAATAAGAGGTTGCACAATTTCCTGGTACTGAACCTGCAGACATGTATCTGCCCTTATCATAGTTAGTTTGCTTTTTCTTAGTGTTTATAGAGGAAAGAGTCCCTAAAGGAATGGAAAAATCTTATGCCTTTGGAAACCAAGTGGTGATTATAAATGTAGGAAGCACTAGGATAAGGAGTAGGCAGTAGGCCTTTATCCGTGGCAAGTTGCTAAGAGCTACCATGAAAATTCAAGTTTCTGATACTGTGTACCAACTGGGGAAAGGGGTGTGGTAAGTCTAGTGGTGCTCTTAGACTAGCCTGTGCACCTGGACTCCAGATCCCACTCCCCGAAGCCTTTTAGGGACTTAGCCCTCTAGTATATTCCTCATTTCTCCAAAATTAATCCTCCTTTGGCAGTTAGCTCTTGCCCATCAGTATTTGAACCTTTTCAAGGTTGGGCTATCTTGTAATCCTTCCTTAGCCCTGCTTGCTTCTCTGCTGCTCTTTCTCCACTTTTACTGTTAAGCTAATTACAAGTTGGTTGCCATTTTGGTGTTTGACAGGCATGGAGTCTTGTTTGTCACTGTCTGAGACTTGACTCTTGAAGCCTGTTTTCTCATCTCTGAGATAATCTTTATACTTAGTTATAAACTGTTGAGATTATACATATAAAATAGTGCAAAACAGGACATACTGAGTGTTCAGATATATTTGCTTAGTTTCTGGCTCTCTGCCTTCTGTCTCTAACCGCAAATACCTGCCAGTTTTTTGTTTGTTTTCTCAGTGGTGCTCATGCTAACGCCTCCTTCATCTCAGTGCACTCTGTCTTCCTGTCTCTAAAACACACCTCTGACTTATCCCAGCCTCTGCTAATGGTCCTTTGCATTCATTGACTTGTTTATCTTTTGCCCTGCCTTTAAATATGTATATGCTTCATAGTTATATTCCTCTGGATTCCTTCATGGTTTTTATGAATTTACTAAATTATCAATTTGCCAGGCATGGTGGTAAACACCTAGAATCCCAACATTCAGGAGGCTGAGGCAGGAGGATTGCTACAAGTTTGAGGCCAGCCTACGTAGACTGTAGTGAGTTTAAGGGCTCAATTACATAGTGGACCCTCAAAATACCAAAATAAATAAATAAACCGTCAATTTGTAATCACTCTGGAAGTCAAAACAAAGAAGCTTTGTAACTATTTAGTTTAAAACTAATTAGCATTTCTGTGTTAGGTCTTTTTATAATTGCTTTATATGAATTGCTTGATGTAATCTTTACAAGAACTCAGGAAACCCTTAAGTACGCAAGAGTAAGAACCCCATCTAGTGTAATAATGTAGATATTTTAGTTCTAGAGAGTTAATTCTAGGGCTCACCTCCTAATCATAAGACTGCTCTCTTCCAAAATAGTTATGTGATTAGTAGCATTTAGAAGGAGCAATATTTAGGGGAACTAAAATTTCTTGAGGATTTATGTCTGAAATGATGTAAAGAAAGTGGCAAGAATGATAGGAAAAGTGTATTTGAAGTTAGGGGACGTATGTTGGAGGAGACTAATGGCAGTGTGTCTTTTACTATAGTATTTTCCTTTATTTAAGCATCTTTTGTATCACATCGCATAATCTAATAGTGCGGAGAGACCAGTTTTCTGAAGGAGGGAAGAATTCGGATTACATATAGGTATTCAGGCAGCAGGGACAGGTTAGAGTGATGCGCAGTTCACTCAGCAAACTACAAGTCTACGTTACAGCCAGAAGGTAAGCTCTGATTCTAAGGAATGTGAGAAATGAGGTTGGTAGGAAGTGAGCGGGACTGTGAAGCACTTTGTGGTCAGCCTTAGTGTCCGCTTCGCTCCTTCCCATGTCTCCTTCTCTTCCTGTGTTACTGGAATGATAGAGTGATGGAGCAGACTTTAGAGAGGCATTCCAAGGACCATAGAATTTATTTTGCTGCATGCCTCAATTAGAATGGCAACATTGATTTATTCATTAACTAATTGGGCAGATACTGATATTTACCGGATTCATCTAAGTTGTGAACTGTGTTTTATTCATTTCTGTGTCTTGAACATCTAACAGTAACTCAATAATTGTTGAAAAGTGCCATTTAACATTAGTAGTCTAGTAACTGAAACGTAACTTGTCATATTTGTTTTTTAGAAAACAATTTTAGGGGCCGAGGAGATGGCTCAGTAGAGTAAGGGCCTGAGTTCAATCCCCAGTTCCGCCAAAAAAAAGAAAACTATTTTAAACTAATGAGCTTACAACCTTGTGAATTTAAGAGTACCTATCCTTAAGTAGGGAAAAATTATTAAATAATGTAGAAAAATTGAGAATTTCTAAAAATTTACTTACAAGGGCATTCACAGCTTAAGAATAGAGAATTTGGTCAATTGTATTTACTTTGAAATATCTTATTATTCCTTTGATTTGTAGACTTATGAGGAAGATCGAAGAAACTACTCTGAACTTCAAATTAGATGTCAACGTTTGGCTTTAGAATTAGCAGACACAAAGCAGTTAATTCAGCAAGGCGACTACCGTCAGGAGAACTATGATAAAGTCAAAAGGTAAATAGTTAAGATGACTGTAGTCATTCTCATTTTTAGCGTGTATCAAAATCACCTGAATTCTTACCATCAAAGTCATTAATTCTGCTTTTATCGTTTTCATTCATTATATAAAAGCATGTATGTTTGACAGTTTTTGGGTATATTAGTTCTTTGGGTTTTATTTAAAAGTTGCTGTTCTTTTATAAGATATAAAATATTTTCTAAATGTTGATGATTATTTTTGTGTATAGTATCAATTTAAATACTTAGGTTCCCCCCCAAAAAAAAAATTTATAGTGGTTCACTTCTAGCAAAAAGTACTTGGTTAAAAAAATACTTCATAAGGCTGTTTCTCAAATATGTGTTATTCCTAAGTAACTATAGCAAATATGGGCCAGCCAAATAAATAGATCAGTGGATTAAAGCACCTGCAAGCAGGCACAGGGGTGTGGTGGTGCATGCCTGTAATCCCAACACTTGGGAGGCTGTAAACAGGAGAATCACCGATCTAGTAGTGAACCCTGAACACCCTGTAGACCCTTCCCTAAAAAATACAGAGAGAGGAAAAAAAAGTATATATAA